TTTTTAGATGAATGAAATACCAGAATTTTTGCTTATGCTTAATAAAAATTGCCCTGAGCACAATGCCTGTTAGCAGGTTGTTAAGAAAAGCTAGCACAATATGGATGTGACATGATAATAATAATTGTTATTTTGGAATAGGGGAATGTAACTGCTGAAACATAGCAGAAGGGACAGGCAAGAAATCCTGTTCCAAAGTGATATTGCACTGAGATGGGGTGGAAGAGGAGGGGAAGTTTTATTAATTATTGTACTTAAACCTGAGTGAAATGGCAAACATTGCTGCTTTTAAAACCTCCCAGCTGTTCCTTCCTTTGCTCTGGTGGCTGCTTGGAAGTTTAAGCAGTGATAAAAGCAAGGACTCTTAAAGCATTTTGCAAAGTTGTAGAAGACTTTAAACAGCTGGTATGATAAAACACCCACATTTCCCCTGACAAATGTAAGCTCCACCGGTAGCTTTTAGAGAAAGAATCCATACCAGAGCCGTAAAAGAAATAAAATGGTTAAGTGTAGAGGTGACGTTCTGGGTTTTCCCAGCTCAGTAAAGATATATCTAACCAGCCATTATCACACAGGTGCACGTATATCATTCAACATCAGACATCAAGGAAAAATAATCACCTAGAGTGAGAGAGTAAAGTTCAATGAAAGTTTGAAAGCATTACACATCAGCACTCCTGGAAGTATAATCAGACACCCCAAAAAAATGACTTCCAAGCTTTTGTTTGGTCAATGAGTTTGGGTTTTCTGGCTGCATCAAATGAGAATTCATACACATCTGTCTTCATTAGACTTCTTCTAAAAACAATTGTACATTTCCTGGAAGCTCATTAACAGGGGAGCATTGCCAGGCTCTTATTCATAACGGCCCTGATTCAGCAAAGTACTTAAACATGTGCATCGAGCCCAGTAATTTATGATAAAAGGTATAAAAGCAACCCAAACTTTTTCTAAGTTGTAGAAAATACTAAGCCCCCCTTTCACTTGCATTTTTAGTGAAAATTGTGGTCAATTCCTCTCATCTTTGATCTGATTTGTTTTAAATAATATGTTCAATATCTACCTATCTATGATTCTATCAGTCAGCATAACATCATACCCAGCTCAAAATTTTTGGTGACAGCGTCTCTGCATCTGCTGGTTCTTCCTGGTTTCTTCTGGAATACTTCAAATTCCCCTGTGACAGCACCAGCTATTACTTGTTGAGGACAAAGACATCTTTGTCTGGTGTCTGTCCTACCTGGCCAAAAATTCAGCACAAACATTTGACTTAATTAACTCTTGGTCAAACTCACTCCTAAATGTCTCTTTCCCCGCCAGTAATCTGTATTCCTTGCATTTTTTTAATCCTACATTGGCCTGCTGTAAACTATGTCCCATGTTGAAGGACCAACTGTTCTGTGTCTCAGCTATTGATTCCAGCCTGCCTTCTAAAATGCATGCATTAGAGGGTAGCTGCAGAGCTGGAGGAGTGCTGAGTTAGGTAGTTTGAAGTTCTCCACGTTATGCAGTATGCTCTGACATCAGGCAGTTTTTGATGTCCTTTACAAGTGTCTTTCCCTGAGTTTGCCGAGTTTTTCTTGGCTCTTTCCAACTGAACTGTGATGGAGATGTTGAAGGTGCTGTAGGATGGCAAAGCTGTGCTGCTAACGTGTACTGAGGGCCGTCAAGCTCTGCTAACTGTGCTGCTGGTATGTGCTGAAAGTCTCCAAAGATATTACTGCCTTTGTGTCCTTCTGCTTTTCATCGCCCAACTTGAGGCACCTCAGCAGGAAAACAATTTTCGGGAAACCGTACATTCCTGCCTTTGCAAACCAGCTCCCTGGCTGGACAGCTGCCTGTCACTCTTGCATGCATGTATTTCTCACCCCCTTTTAGCTCTCAGGATCTTAGGGATGGCTTCTCAGTGCAACAGATTGTGGAACATGCAGGGAGAGCTGACTTTCTGCCCTAACCCTGAAGCTAATCAGACCCTGAATGGCAGCAGGACTGCTCCCAGCTCTGGCCAGCATGCATATGGCTGGACAAAACACTGACATATTCATCAGACTCCAAAGGAGAATGCAGGGAAAAGCCCTTCATGTAGTTGTGTTTTTTTTAATAGTTTAAATATCTCTTCCTAATGCACTTTCCACACTTGATTGGATTTGTTGTTCACTGCTGAACTGTATCCAGCTTTGGTCCACCAGAGGAGGACCTTATCCCAACAACCTCCAAAGCACCAGTATCTACTGTTGCTTTGCCTAATTTATTGCAACTTCACTGTTCCTATTCCTGCAGGTTGTTAGCCCCAACTGTGATTCAGTCCTTACTATATACTAGGCACTGTACAAACATGTAGGCAGCGATTAGCATCCCTCTGAAAAAGTCTGTAAACTAAATAGATGAATAAAAAATATAAGGAGGTGAAATGATTTGCTGGGGGAAAAGCTGATTTTCAGATTTGCACCTGATGGCACCAGGTCTCACTGCCTGGTCATTAATCCCCAATTTCCCAAGGGAGCATGTGTGTTTACCTGCCGGAGGTCCGCAGCTGGAAAGCCTACTGGCTACACACTTCTTATTGCAGTTCTGCAGGAGACAAATCACTGCCTGTTTGACACACAGAGTTGTACAAAGTCTCACTACAGAAAATGTTTCGTGCTGTCGATCTTCCAAAGCATCATCACTGGCAGCAGGACACTGGCTTCAGAATGGGTAGATTGTGCTTCCACAAAGCTAATTAAAATCATTAGCAGCAACCTGTGATCAACTGCCAGAAGCTATCCTTCATAACAGTAACCTCACTTTCCCCCTTGTCTGCTTGAGTAAATTTATGAGTTATTCTGAAGTTTATTATCTCCCTTTTAAAAAATAATTCATGTTTATTTTATAGTGAGTGGAGACATCTCAAAATGATTATGTATACCCAGATAAGCAATAAAAATCACAGAGGTCATGGAAGAGAGAGCCTGTTATGAATGTTACAAGTGCTCTGTCTCTGCTGCTAGGTTCAAGACCAGAATCTTTGCCAAATCCCCTGAAGTCAGATATCGTGCTCTCTGCTTGTTACAAATGCTGCTTAGTAGGACTCTGCTTAATAGGAATGGGGTGGAAGGATGAAAGGGGAATTCTTGACCAGAAAATAGTCATGAAACAATATCACCGTTTAATCTTCCCCAAGTTTCTAATTCCCTCATCCTCCACTGTTTCCAGCTTTGTATCCTTTGGAAATGGACAGAAACAAGAATTTCATGCAAACTTATATGTGTGTATTTGTGATATGGATAAAAACTTTGACAAGGATTTATACAGCTTCTGAATATTTGAATTAAGAGTACAGTTGCTCTAAGTGCCTGGACAGAGAAGGGTAGCTCAGTTCACTGAATATAGGTTGTGACCCCCAATAAATCAAATTAATACTGTTCTCCACTGAACCTTTACTTGTCTTGGCTGTTTAAAGTGTATTGTATTTGCCTTTACCATGTTGTACAGTGATTCTCCAGGTGCTGACACAAAGCATTACAAATGTAGCCTATTTGTAGGCCACATTACACCTGCATTGTGCTGTGTGTCTGCTGCAAGAGGTGTGTTAATTTCAGCTGTACTGAGAGCTGCTTGCCACAAATATTTTGGCAGTGAAATCGAGTGGCTAAAACAAAAGTGTTTGGGCTACTGTGGGCAATTCTTTGTGTGGCTGATTGCTTTCCTAGACATGGAAATTCATGATGGAAACATGGTTCTAATAATTAAGTTCATTTGGATATCTAATGTAGAGTGCTGATTTAGTTCTGTCATAACGAATTCCAGTTTTTCTTCTTTTGTGTTTGCAGCAATATAATTCTTACTGGAAGAATCATTTCTGCTCTACTTCTGCTTTCCATTCTCTGGTTAGCTCTAGTGCCATTTATTAAATGGACTTGTCCAACTTTATAGTTTTTAAAAAGAACAGGATCCAAGTGATTTCTCTTTACCAAATTATCAAATACAAATCTCTGAATCCTAAGTGATTAAACTGTAGCTAAAGTTGCTTAATGACACCGTTGTTGTGCTCTGGCTCTTTAAGTGGGCTGGCCTTTGAGGTCTCACATAACTCTGCCAAAATCTCATTGCTCTTATACTGGTTCTCTTGAGCAAAAAAAGCACAGCTTCCATTAATGATGATAATTGGCAACAGCAGTGCTAGTAAAGAACTGGTGTCTGCTGAGGACAGCCCTGGCTGCAGGAGATTGCCTGTAGTGCCTGGGTGAACAGCAGAAGAGCCATTGTCTGCTTTGCCTCTAGCAAAGATTGTTTGCTGGTGATAGTATCCTCAGTAAGCACTAATGTCCCTTTCCTGTGTGTGATGCCACAACAAGCTCCATGTAGGACCCCACTTTTTTTTTCACCAAGACCTATAAAACTACAGTGTTTGCTGAGTGTGAGCACTGGTTATGCTTGTTACACTTGTTGTGGGGTAAGGGCCTTGCCCATGGGCTCCTGATGGAGATTTAAGAAGTCTCCTGCTGGCAAGGCTTGCAGGCCCTTAATAGACCTGGTTTTCCATGCTGAGGAAGCAATTTCAGTGCCTATCAGAATATTACTCTAGGCCTGAATCCAGTGACCTTTATTCAACTTTTACTCAACCAGAAGGAAAATGATGGAAATTGGAGGAGGGGGAGATTGAAAACCTTTCGAAGGTATGTTTTCCTCTATGGTGCCACCAGGACTAAAATGGCACACATTAGCCACTGGCTAGAGGATCACCTCTGGCTGGTACAATATCCATGTGCCAGGTAAGGCTTTGAGTGATCATTCCCCACCTGTGATAAATTATAGATGGGATTTTTTGTACTTTACGTCCCCTTGAGAAGAAGAGGGGAATCCAAAGCTATTGTGTCACCCAAGAGGGAGGCATTCACCCAATTAAGGGGCTGATCCACTTAACCTCCTCAGCCTAGTGCCCACATCTGTAGCTATCTGCCTGCTCCTCAGTCCATCTCTCTTCCAGCTGAAGCTCTGCTCTCCAAGTGTTCTACATGCTTGGGGTCATCCTTGGCCTCTCTGCAGGCAAGACTGCAAGATATTTGGGTGCATGAGGAACACAGGTAAGAAAAAGGGGAATTTTTGTGCCCTCAACTGGGATAGAGGCAACCTAAGGCTTTGCTCCCTGGGCAAATAATGTGCTGCAAATTCCACTCCTTGAAGAAAAGACAAAGAGTACCTCAGAAGTATGGCTGGGAGGGCATATTCCCCTCCTGCCCAGCCCTGAGTCGGAGCTGTGTGATTCCCTTGTGAAGTATGCTCCACAGGCCAAACAGTGGTTGTTTGGCTGGGATCCCTATCTGTTCAGCGGAATACAAGGTTTTGAAGGCAATACCTGAGACTGCAGGATGAAAAGATAAAAACTAACAACATTCCCCAGCTTTAACTGAGGTGCTGCTCAGTCAGAATCTGCTCAGATTCCTTTAAAAGTGGTAAATGCTTCACCTCTGCCAGTGTTCAAGGCCAGGTTAGACAGAGCCTTCAGCGGCATGGTCTAGTGTGAGACGTCCCTGCCCATGGCAGGGGAGTTGGGACTAGATAATCTTAAGGTCCTTTTCAACCCTAATTATTCTATGATTCTATGAAATAGCTGGTTGAGCCTGAATATGTCCAGAAACTGAACAAAAGCTTTTGCAAGCCTGGTCTCTGCCATGAACGAAGGCTGTACCTGCAGCACCTGAGTTGCATAGCTCGGTGACAACTGGTTTTAAACCACAACACAGCCACCTCTGCAGCCATCCTGTAGGAAAGCAGCAGCCAGGCCGCATTCATCAGCTCATAGTGAGTAACTATATCAGCTCTGTGCACCATTCACCTAGTGGTGGGCTCTTTTCAGCTCTTTCTTTCTTTTTTGGGTAGTAAGAAGCATCCTTCAAGTGAACATAAGACCATTTGATGTTACCATAAACCATTCTGCTGGCTCAAATCAAAGATGAGGCACCGAGGTGTTGTAAAAATCTTTGAGTCAACTAAAGACAGCTGGTTGAATCATTTCCCAGATTTTCATATGACTCATAAATTTGCTACATAGTGAGGAAATTCCCTGAAAGCTTCTTGGCAGGCACTTCCAGTCTGACCAGTAGCTAAGAAACACATAACCTTCCAGTTATAGGGGGGGAGCAGTGTGGAGAGGAAACAAAGAAGACTCTGCTTTTGGGTTTGAGCATGGGGTCAGTTGAAAATGTATTCCTGCCACCAAAGCCACAATCCTCCTGCACAAGAGGCCAGGAGCTTTAAGGGACAGCTTCTCAGATGTAACGCATATGTGCAGAAGAGTCTGCCTCCTCCCTTTCTCCTTCTACCGGTACACCCCACTTCACACATGCACAGAAGTGCACGTGGCAGAACTCTGTGACCTGTGGTGCACAAACCTGTGTATCAGTTGAGTACATGCCATTAGACCTTGTTTCATTTCTTGACAGGTAGCCCAAATCATGTCTTATTCAGGCATCTAAAAGCAAGATTGCAGATGTTTCTGTCACCAAGATCCACATTTCTTTGGGTAGTTAATGGTGAGCACCAATGAGCGCCTCTAAAGGGAAAAGCCTCTCTACCTTGTGTAGGAAGGTTGAGTGTTTGTGGTTTGGGCTGTTTGTGGGTACTTGTGTTCCCCATAAGACTTTCAAAGGTTTTTTTCTCGCACCACTGACTGTGTGGACAGAAATGTCTTCCTTCAAGGGAGCAGGTTAATTAAATATCTATCGTCATGGCACAGATTGGGATCTCAGTGGTGGGACCTCAGTGAGCTTCCTGATGTAGTCCACCTCAAATTAAGCAGTGTGAATAAATCCCAGTGACCATCTGTGTCAATGCAAGCATTGGCCAAGTTCTTGCCTGGCACCCCAAAGAGCTTTTGAGCCTGGAGTTGCCCAGTAAAATGGACTGTTATCTAGAAAACTCCTCCAGCTTCAGATGTCACTGGCGCAGATATCTGCATCTGAATTACTCAGTTATACCTTCATAGAATCGTATGACTTGGGTTGGGAGGAACCTTAAAGATCATCTAGTTCCAGCCCCCTACTATGAGCAGGGACACCATCCACTACACCAGGTTGCTCAAAGCCCCATCCAACCTGGCCCTGAACACTACTAGGGATGGGGCAGCCACAGCTTCTCTGGGCAACCTGTACCAGTGTCTCACCACCCTCACAGTAAAGAACTTCTTCCTAATATCTAATCTAAATCTACCTTCTTTCATTTTAAGCCACTCCCCCTTGTCTTATCTTTGTATGCCCTTGTAAAACATTCCTTCATGACTTTCCTCATGGCCAAAGGAAAGCAAAAGCAAGTTCTTCTCATCCTGAGTTATTGAAGACCCATGTCTTCATCTCTAGTCATATAGACAAGCTTACAATATTTTTCTTTTTCATGTCCCTGTGATAGATAAAGAATGAAACAAGGGACATATTGTTGAAAGCTGTGATGTGACATTATTAGTACCTCTATTAGTACCTCTATAGCAAGACTTCTGGTTGTTCTCTTGGGTCTCTAAACTCTATGCTTAGTTATCTTTTGAGGAACCACCAAGGCATCTGTTGGGCTTGGTGAGACAAATTGTTGTACAGCCCAGGTGTAAGCATGCACCCATGCTGGGGATGTGTATGTCATAGAATCATAGAATCAACCAGTTTGGAAAAGACCTCTAAGATCATCAAGTTGTGCTTTGTTGATGCTTGGTGTGTTGGCAGACCAATCATGTCAGGGTGGTTCCCTGTCACAGGACCATGGGGAGAATCCATGAACCAGCTGCATTAATTGACCCCAGTGCATAGGGTTGAGTGATAAGAGTGAGACGGTGTCCAGGTTGGAGAGTGTGAAGATGATGAGGGCCACCTTGCAGAGACACGGGGACCACCAGTGAGGGACATGGACTCCAATTTGGGAGCTGTCAGTTCAGATATTTTAGCTAGCGCTTCAGAAACTGTGTGACCTGGCAGTTTGCCCCATGGAGTTTGCACACAATTAATTCATTAGGTAATTCAACAGGCATGGATGGACAACCATGTATAACTCCCATTACAGTCCCAGTGTGTGAGCACACACAGGGACACATGCACAACATAACGTTGCTCCCCTCTCCCCAAATCCCGCTATGTTGAAAAAGGCCAGAGGAAACACAAATGACATTTTGTTTCTTCTCTGTAAAAAACACTTGCAAACTCTGACCAGCAAGAATGGATTGCATTTCAGGGGCTTGTTTATTCATCGAAAGCTCAAAAGATTTAACAGTTTAAATAAAATGTCTGAATGAGGCTCCGTGTATGTGAGCCTCTGAAATGCTCTTTTGAGACAGACATCTGACGCCTCGGAGGAGCTCCTCAGTGGCAGAGAGGGCTTTAGCAGCTTCAGTTGTGAGCAATTAAAGTTGATCAGGGCTTCGGACTGGTTGAAAACACAGAAAATCATGCCCAGTTCAGCTCTCCAAAATGCTTCTTCATGTCACATATTTGCCACAGCTTTAGCTTCAAATTGCAGGATGAAACATAGAGCCAATCACCAGGTTTAGGAGTAAAAATGTTCCTAGGAATTCAGAAATGCTACCAAACCATTATGCTGACTGCTTTCCAGATTGAATCTTTCTTTTTTTTCTCTTTCTTTTGGTTGCTTTAATTTAGTAGAGGAAGTGAAGGCAAATAGTTTAATCATAACCATCCCTAGGGGCAATTTAGAATCATTTTCTCATTAGTGCATATAATACGCAGTATAAGTAATGTTCAATCAGATGGTTGCTACAAAGGCCTGTGCAGACACTGAAATGAAATGCAGTCCAATGCTATGAATAGTTGAATAAGAATAATCTCATCTTCTTGTATCTTGCTTCTTTGTTGGTGGGTGAATAGGACTTTCCCCCCTCCTTTCTTCTCTCTCTTTTTTTTTGTGGGGGGGGAAGGGATAATCAAACTTTCTTCTAAATAGTAAAATCACGTTATAAAAGTGGAGGGATTCCAGGACTGTAAAGGCTCCAGGGAATTCAATCACAGACAGCCAAAGCCAGGAAGTATTTGAAGAGGGAGAAGAAAACTAAAACACGAGCAGGAAATATGTGCTCCATAAAGTTGACTTAACTGGAAGACATGTGTCACACATTGGAACTAGATGATCTTAAGGTCCTTTCCACCCTAACTATTCCACGATTCTGTGATCTACAAGAGGGTCCAACAGTAGTACCCGTGGGTATTTTGGGAGAGGCAGTAGCTCCAAGGGCTTCTTCATCCCAAAAAGCCGCTCAACTTATGATGCATTTAACTGCTCCCCAGTTTCATCACACAAGCTTGTATGGGTCAGGCTTAAAGTCAGATCACTGAAATTACATCAGTTAAAAAGCAAGCTATGAAGATCCAAGATGGTGGAGCAGGAAGTTCTTGCACCATCTCTTCTGCGAGAGCTGGCACACATTGGATTACACCCCAGGGTGTAGATGGGTAGATAATTAAAAGTAAAATACCTAGTGTTTGGATGGCCAGGCAGCTCAGTGACTGCCGTCGCGCTCCCATCAGCTAGAGTGGGCTGCTCAGTGACAGCTATGACAGCTGGCATATCATGGATCATCCTGATTACGATGGGAAGCACAGAGACCACTGCTTGTGATTTCAGCACAAGCTGGGAACTGAGGAAGGTGACACTTTTGTATTGGTAGAGAAAGAAGTTAGCAGGACCTCTAGTTGTCTGCGTTTCTCTGTATTTCTCAGTAGGCTCATGGCATGCTCAGAGTGGTACCCACTGGTTTTGATGGATCCTATCTGGGAGAATGGTGAACTCCAGGATTTCCTACTTTCCAGTTGGCCCCAGGGTGGTGACTGGGATTGGATGTTGTCTCTTGGATATCTAAGTCTCTGCATAAAAATGCAGTGGCTTCACTTGCCTTTTTTTTATAGGTTGGAAGAGATGCGAATGCTGCTCCCAGCATCCACAGAGATCAAAGGTATGAAATACTACTCCATAGCAAGGGGTTTTGCAGATCATTTTTCAGGATCATTTAATGAGGGCTTGAACCTCCCAAGTTTCACTTAATTCTTCATAACTGAATAAACCCAAAAATTCAAAGTGAAACTCAACCCAGAAATCCACGTTCAGCTTGGTTTTGGATGGAAACCAAAGGAAATCATTTAATCCCAACATGGTTTCCACCAGAAGCTCTGTATTGGTTTGGGTTTGGTTGAAACTCAGCTTTTGCTTCCCTTTGCTGAACAGCTCATGTAAACTATGGGGTAAGAAGAAACAAATTCAGGAAATACTTGTGTATTTTCCTGTAACAGTTCAAAAATATCTTCTGAACTCTATCAAACACATCAGTTCCATGAAACTCCAGGAAACACACCAGTCCAAATTCTCTGTAAATTGGAAATAAGATAAATTTGTCACTGTTTATCTTCAACACAAACACAGATATCCCAGCACTGGAAGAACTCTGAATATGTGGCATGAAAGCTTTTCCCATAGGTAGAAAGAAAAAGGCAACTCAAAAATAGATTCTTTGTTTTGATAGACAAAAATGAAAGGCCTGGACAATGCTATAAACTAGTTTTTCCTCTCACTTTTACAAAGTTTGACAGAAGCAAAAGCATCACACTTACTGCTGTAACAGACTTGGAGGATTTTTTTCTGAGATCTTAAAAATCATGGAGTTATACTAATGTCCTGTTGTGCAACAGACTTTGAGCAATTAAGGACAAGTCTACTTATTGATTTATGGGTCCTTGCAAGAAAAGCTTAATAATAAGGATAAAGGTGACAGGATAGTTCAGATAGTATCTTAGTTGTGAGCAGTGGGTATTGAAAATGGACATTTCTTATTTTAGGATATGCTTGTAGAAGTCCCATGAGAGACTGTCATAAAATATCAAGTTTACTAGACAGGCTTGTCTAACTCATATCCGTTAGACCATGAGAACATGGTGTTTCATATGAAGGGACAAGAAACCATAATTTATGCTTATGGGATGAGCAGTTCTGTGCAGAAGTATTTTGCTACCCCAACAATTAGGGGTAACCTGAACTCAAAGGATGAAGTACTTGGTCCTTTCAGCTTACAGATGAGTTGCCATCAGTAGCTCTGGACTGCTACTGTAAATTGGTATTTCCCTTTAGGCATGCTGGGTGGCAAAAATACTTGTTTCCAGAGTTTCTGGTACGGTCATTACTCCATAGGGAGCTCTGGGCATCTGCAAGCTGTGTACAAGGCAAACACACACCCTGGAGATATTTCATGGAAATCCCACTCACTGACTTTTTGGTTGTTTCTCCTCAAATGCCTCATTAATATATTCTCCACTAATAAATCTTTAAATTGCTCAACCAGTTCTGTAGAAAAACAAAAGTACAGTTGGGGGAGTGCTTGCTTGCAACATATTTTTCTGTAGAAATAATTATTAGCTAATAAAGTTGGAAGGATCTTGGCAGAGTTAAATCCTCCACTGGGATTGGGTGCTTCCTCTTTGGATCCTCTTGAAAAGACTCAAATTAATTTTGCTTTTGTTATAATTTGATTAGTCCTTGTTTCACAAGTGGTTGAGCTTCAAAACAAAGATTTATATCTGTGCAGCTAACCTGCGTAATAGCGCTTGTTGCTTCTTTTGACTTTCTTTAATACATTCAGTACAGTACATAAGCATATTTTAAAGACATGTGGAAATACAAACATAAAGAAAAGACTCGAATACCAAACCGCATGCATGATGTTGTTGTGCTTCTCTCCTTACTTCGTCTGTATTCAAGAACATAATGTGTTTCGGCCAGGCCATTGTCAAAACAGACAGAGATTAATTGCTGCAGCCATTTGTTCTGTTACAAGAAAGATAAAAATAACTCATGACTCATGACAACAGTGAATATTGTGGAGCCAAACCCTGCATCCTATTTGCCATTTTCTAGCCTCAGCGTAGAAGCAAAAATGTGATTTTGAGAAATGATCTGATGCTATATTTAGTACCTCTGCAGTATTTATGCAGCTAGGGAAGTAGGTGTCTGGCATTGTCTTAAAGGACACACAGATGTGGTTCAGGAGGCTGTGGATATGGGGCTTGAAATGGCTTGTGTATATTGGTAGGTATGGCTGCAGGGCAGAGACATAATCTTACAACACATCAGGAATCAGAAATCAGGGAAACCCCATAGTTTTGCTCAAGCTGTCCTTCAGCATGCACATGGCATTTACTAACGTGTTCACGGGACATTGACCATGTGCTTAGGCTCTATGTGGAGGGGACCCTCAGTCTTAGAGTGAGGCTTGGAAGCTTGAATTTCACTGCACCGTGTGGGACATGTTCCCCATGTAAGGGGCATGCACATGAGTATCTTTGCCCATTTCCTCATATACCCTTAGCATTCTGAGGTTTCCAGCCCTTGGATTATTAGCTTGGACAAAGAGATGAACTTCACCTCTGAAGCATTTTCATGGCTTTAGATGACCAGTCAATCTCACCTCTGTGCCTGGCAAAATCTTGGAGCAGATTCTCCTGGAAGGCATGCTAAGGCACATGAAAATCAACAAGGTGCTTGGTGACAGCCAGTACGGCTTCACTAAGGGGAAATCCTGCCTGAGCAATTTGGTGGCCTTTATGATGGGGCTACAGAACTGATGGACAGGGGTAGAGCAGTTGATGTCATCTACCTGGACTTGTGCAAAGCGTTCAACACTGTCCCACACAACATCCTTGTCTCTAAATTGGAGAGACATCAATTTGATGGTGTCGTGGTTTAAACCCAGTCAGGTAACTTGTTTGCTCACTTCCCCCCCTTTCTTGCCCTCCCCCTGCTCTCGAAGGGACAGAGAGGAGAATAGAAAAGAATGCAACTCCCACGGGTTGAGATAAGAACAGTTTAGTAACTAAGGTATAACACAGATCACTACTGCTACCACCAGTGATAATAATGATGAAGGAAATAACAAGGGAAGAGAATACAACACCTCACCACCAGCCGACTGATAACTCGCCTCCCAAGCCCGACCAAGCACCGACCCATACCTCCTCCAACCCTGCAGTCTCCCAGCCCTTCCGGCTCACTCCCAGTTACATCCTGGGCATGATGTGCTGTGGTATGGAATAGCTCTTTGGTCAGTTTGGGTCAGGTGTCCTGTCTCTGCTTCCTCCCGGCTTCCCCGCCTCCCTGGCAGAGCATGAGGCTCACAAAGTCCTTGGCCAAACCAAAACATCTCTATCAGCTCTGTTCCCGAGCCGAAAGTCAAAACACTGCACTGCACCAGCTACCAAGGAGGAGAAACATGACTGCTACTGCTGAACCCAGGACAGATGGATGGACCACTCAGTGAATAAAGAACTGGCTGGATGGCCGCACACAAAGAGTTGTGGTCAATGGCTCAATGTCCGGCTGGAGACCAGTAACAAGTGGTGTCCCTCAGGGATCAGTGTTGGGACCGGTCTTGTTCAACATCTTTGTTGCTGACATGGACAGTGGGATTGAGTGCACCCTCAGCAAGTTTGCCGATGACACCAAGCTGTGTGGTTCGGTTGATACGCTGGAGGGAAGGAATGCCATCCAGAGGGACCTTGACACACTTGTGAGGTGGGCTGATGCCAACCTTATGAAGTTGAACCATGCCAAGTGCAAGGTCCTACACCTGGGTCAGAGCAATCCCAGGCACAGCTACAGGTTGGGCAGAGAAGAGATTCAGAGCAGCCCTGTGCTGAAGGACTTGGGGGTGTTGGTCGATGAGAAACTGAACATGAGTCGGCTTCAGTGTGCACTTGCAGCCCAGAAAGCCAACCCTATCCTGGGCTGCATTAAAAGGAGCATGACCAGCAGGTCAAAGGAGGTGATCCTGCCCCTCTACTCTACTCTTGTGAGACCTCACCTGGAGTATTGTGTGCAGTTCTGGTGTCCTCAACATAAAAAGGACATGGAACTGTTGGAACAAGTCCAGAGAAGGGCCAAGAGGCTGATCAGGAGACTGGAGCACCTCCTCTATGAAGACAGGCTGAGAAAGTTGGAGCTGTTCAGTCTGGAGAAGAGAAGGCTGAGTGGAGACCTCCTAGCAGCCTTCCAGTATCTGAAGGGGGCCTATAGGGATGCTGGAGAGGGACTCTTCATTAGGGACTATAGTGATAGGACAAGGGCTAATGGGTTAAAACTTAAACAGGGGAAGTTTAGATTGGATATAAGGAGGAAATTCTTTCCTGTTAGGGTGGTGAGGCACTGGAATAGGTTGCCCAGGGAAGTTGTGAATGCTCCATCCCTGGCAGTGTTCAAGACCAGATTGGACAGAGCCTTTGGTGGCATGGTTTAGTGTGAGGTGTCCCTGCCCATAGCAGGGGGTTGAAACTAGCTGATTTTAAAGTCCTTTCCAACCCTAAATATTCTATGATTCTATGAACAACTTTGCATGGGAAAGAGGCCACTGTAGTCTCAGAGGAAGTGTTGTCACCATCTTCATGCAGTCTGAGAGCTTCAAATGCAGCAGTGATGCTGGCCACTGGAATACCACAGAAATATCAGCTAACGGGTCTGTGTCCCTGTGCCACAGGCCTCAAATAATGATACAGAAGGAAGGAGGATCTTGAAGCTTAGCCCCAGGGGAGTCCTTGGCAAATGGCGGGCTTACAAAAACTAGCACCGGTAGTTTAAGTAAGTCCCATCTCCACTCCTGCAGGAGAGAAGGAACCTGCTGGTTCCAAATCTTGGAATATTCTATTAATGAAGACTTTGGTGCAGGGGGAAATAAATTAGTCAGCTCTCAGGGTGAGAGTCTTAAGGAAACAGGTTGATAGTATTGAGAGAAAAAAAGGAACATTTTAAAATGTGAGTTAGATATGCTCGAAACCATCTAAAGCCTTTAAACCATGTCAGAAAAATGTCACTGCACTCCTTTGCTTCAACAGTTGCAGCTGTTTCACTATGGTAAAAAATCATCTTTTAAAAGAGATGAGTCTATCATGAATTAATCATGCTATCCTACCTGACAGCATTACGCTGTATCCATGCCAGCATCTGATGAGGTGGTCAGGGACTGCTGATGGCTGTTTCTTCATCAAGGAAGCGCAAGCCAGCCCAGGGAGGATGGGTTTGGGTCTGTACATTCTGGAAGCCATGGCAGTGAGATGTGTAATGTGGTTCTGCATCCCACAGGGTAGGATGTTCAGCCTCAAAAGAGGGTCCCGTCACCTTGTCACTTTTGGGGTGAGAGAGCAGCTCTTTCTTGCCTACTTTCCATTAAGCAGTTGCAGCACAGGGCCACAAGTGCTGGACCCAGTGATCTCTATTGTCCATCTGGTAGGATGCTCCCTTTGAGACATCAATTCTCAAGCTTTCCTCAGATATCAGCAGAGATCAGGACCAATTACTAACATAGTTATCATACTGGGAGAAAGAATTTAATAAGGGCATAGCCATACCCCACCTTAGGGACAAGGACAGGAGTGGTTTAGTTTTCTGGCACCGATGTGGTCATGCACTGCAAGGAGGACTCTGTAACCCCAGTGGGGCAGGCAGCAAGCAGCAAGCAGGTCCAAGGACTGCTCAGATAGTTTTAGTTTATCAGTGAGTGGATATAGTAAACATAGACAAAACCGACCAGAGTCTTCTAACCTCTTCCTTGAAGTGCTCCTGCCTGCCTGGTGTGGAGAAGGGAGAAGAGGATCTGAGTACCTTGTTGCTACAGTGCAAAACTGGGCAGCTCCTGGTCCAGGCATTGCTTCCCAGCAGAGAGCTATGGGGATACTCTCTTTCAGCTGCAGCTGCTCCTCCTCTTGGTTTTTACTGGGCCAAGTACTCTGTTGAGGAGCTTGAGCCAGCAATGGCCAAGGACCAAATACGTCACCCGAGTCCCATCATCTCTGGAGTGCAGTGATGCCAGAGAGAAGGCATTTGAGGTCAGCCCTGCACGTGTGACAGGAGCAGAAAACCATCAGGACACACTTTTTTTTGTTTTTTTTTTTCCTGAATTTTGCTGGCACACATCTCATGTGTCAGGTCATCCCTTCACACATACACATGTGTGCGCTTCATTACAGCTCCTTGTCTCCCTCCTTTCCTTCGCTTTGCCCCACTTCCCTGCTGTATCCTCCTTCCACCCTGGGGCTTGGAAGCTTCTTTGAGCCTCTGCAAGAAAACTGCTTCCAGCTGTGGGCTGTGACAGGCTCTCAGCCGCTATGCAGCTGTTCTCAGGCTTCTGCTCCCTAAACCAGCAGGACCGGTGGGGAAAGACTGATCCTTGCTGCTGACTGTCTTCACAAGCAGTTACATGAGCCTGCGTTAGAAGGTTGCCTTTGGACATTGCCAGCAATAGGCACAGGACCCTTCCAACAAGCTAAA